CACTACTAAAATTGCTTGATGAATTATTTCTCTTAACTTATCTTTTAAATATCACGTATCATCTTCTATTAGTTAAAAAATAACAGAAAATGCGGTAATATAATTAGAAGGTAAATCAAGTAAAAAATTATAAATATTTTCATATAATATAGAAGAAGACATATATAGTATTAGAATTTTACTAAAAAAATAATAAGCAAAAAATAACTTGAATTTAATACATCTGCCTTTTTAAATCTCTGATGACTTCTCTATTCATATTCTCTTTAACTTGCATTTATGTTGGGGAAAGAAATAGGAGAAATATGTGAGGCATACTTTACGTCAAAAATTTTGTGTTAGAGAATAAAGGTATATAAAATGTGCATTAAAGATCTCGATATTTTCAAAAGCGTTAAGGATAATGCATATACATACTTTTTTCTTTATTTCACTTGCCTAACTGCTCAGTAATGAAGGCCTAGTAGCATTATACAAATACACTCTAGTCGAAATCTAATAGGAATAGCCTCTAATATTGGAAGAAATAAACTCATAAATAAATGCTATTTAGATAGATAGGAAAAATTCAAAATATCTTGAAAATCAATTTCTTATGTGTGAAAATTAATTTGTCACACAAGCAGTCATACAGAATTACAGATGATTTGTAAAGTATTACCTATTACATCATATATACTTTAATGAGGATTACAAATATGTTTATTGTATCATGCATACAATTGTATTTTATTAAGATATTATTTAGGATCTGGGTCAAGGACTGATCTGGAAAATTCGATGTACTAACTCATAATTATCATCCAAATCTAAAAAATTTATGATAATATCTTTTTTCTCGTAAATATAATATATGTATTTTAATGGTAAATCGCATATAGGTTTTTTCATTCCTGATAATTTATTCTTATATATCTCGTATATTAAAATTCTGATAAAGAATGCATAATTATATTTTTTTTTATGAATGCTACTATAATATTTAGGATTCTGTGATTATTTTAATATGTCAAGCCAATATACACCTCTAACAACCATATAGCCTTGCTGATATAATAATTTCTTAATAAGTATGTATGTTACAAAAGCTAATCATCCTCATAATTAGACTAATTTCTCATATGTCTAAATAGTAGCAAAATAAATGTTATGCTGATTTTCTTCATAAAGTTGGCCAAATATCACATATTTAGGTTCTATTAGTTTTCTATTAATAAAATAAAATGTTTTATTAGGAGAAACTATACCTAAAAACTTCATATTGTCAGGAGTACCATCATTTCTCACTATTTTCCAAATTCGTTTTGCTAAAGATTAGGTCTTTTCTTGTAATTTCTGTAAGCTCATTGGATAACTGTTACATAGAAATTTTCAAACTAATAATTATAGTATTTTGCAATCAAGAATTCTCAAGACTGCTTCATAGATAGTTTACTAAAATAATTATACAATATATTGGAAGATCTATCCTAGAATAGGTAAATCAGGTTTTTTATCCTGTAGATGGTACATTCACTAGATGATCATCCAGATTATATCAATATAATGTAAAAAATAAATTATATTTCAGTTAAAAATAATAGATTATAATTAAAATATTTTTCAGAATCAGCTAATAAAACTGATTAAACAATCGTGACTTTTATCACATCTTCCAATCTAAGCACAATACCTTTTGGCTGATTGAAATAGTTTAAGTTATTTTGTTTTGCATATATAGATGAGATAAATATTTCACTAGAAGTTGGTGAAATCATTTCTTGGTTATCAGAGGTAATAGGAGAACTTATCATAGTATTTTTTACTATAGTTGCAGATTTGGCCTTGAAGCAAAAGTAATTCTAATGATTTTTCATCAAATCTTTAGACTCAACTTCATAGGCCCATCTTTCTCAGCCACTATAATATTCCTTTCTAGGCTCTACTTTAGTAATCTTCACCAATTTCTAGTATTTAAAGCAGATAGTCATCTGATTTTTATGGATACTAGGTCTATGATATTCAAAAGGAGTACTATATAAATTACTATTAACATAGTATATTGTGGATTTTACTTGCTCAAAAGAAGCGAAGAGATAATACACATGATATAAATTATATTTTTACTTAGAAAGTAGTTCTTGCAGAGAACATCTTACATGATTAGCCTATTGCTGAAGAGTTTCATGAAATCTAATAATAGATAAATAATCATATTGTTTTTCTATTTCAACCAATTTTTCATACTGATAGTTATCAGTTTGAGGTCAATAGTTAAAAATATGTTCCATATCATATCTAGGACAGAGATTGATAGGTTTAGATACAATTTTATTATAAACCCTATCTATAATGATTTTAACTATATCACTCAATTTCAGAGTTTATGGTATTTTTAACGAATTCTGACAATTATTTAGCAACTTATACTAGATAATATCACCATTCAAATTTATACAAATTTACTGATTAGTGATTAATTAGTTTGTAGCCTATTTGTGAGACTACATGTTAGTAAATCCAAAATTCATTTTTTTTATTTAATTACAAGCATATCGAGATTTATATAGAGTTATTTCTAGCTGGCTATGCTAATTTTATATTTACATACATATGTATAGCGCCTTCAGTTAAATTGGTTTGTGACATAATATACTGTATATCGTATTACATGAGATCTCCCCTAGTTTCAGTTTTTCGATAGTTCTAGGAGTGTTTCAGGTGCTAGCAAATTTCTATAAATCACAAGATGATCAACCAATCAGATTTCACCGCTCCTTGATCTATTAACATGATAGCTAAGCCACTAGGAATAAAATTTTTTCATTAGTATAGAATAGCGAATAGTTTAGTAAATTTTATATTTCATAGCGTATCATGTAAAATATGAAAACAAATAAATATATCATTTGTAAAAATACAAAACATGTTTAAAAAACTCAAAGTAAAATCTTTATTGTATTTTTGTAAAGTAATATATAAGAAAAAGCTCAGCCGGCTAAGTAAAAAAAATGAAACTAATAAAAGATATTGGAGTAGATCACGTTTAAAGGAAGGAATAAAGCACAAAATGAAATAATATCATACTTTCCGCCAGCCTCTAGACCGTAAAAGGCAGTTCCTTCTCAATATCTCATATTATTTTTATGATTATTATTTGCACTACTCACATTACTATTATTATTATTATTTATACTACTAGCAACTTCTTTACTTTCTACTTATCTTATAATTGACATTATGATACTAAATTTTGGATTCCCTCTACAATAATAAAATTTTTTACAATACTCTTTCCAATCTTTTCTCTAGTATAATGACAAATTTCACGTCTAACAGTTTCAAACGCATAGTCATTAGTGTCTTCCACTTCTTTATTTATGTCAAAAACTCTTTTAAAACAGTTTCTATTTTCATCAAGAGATGAATCTGATGATGAGCTTCCGCGTGATCGATTCAAAGCCTCAGATTGGTTTTTATTTAACTGATCAAATTTGACCTGAAGCCTTTGAGCAATTGCATAACATTAGATTATTTCATTTCAAAAAGCTTCAATAGAGGTATTGATTGAAATAAATTCAGTTGAAATGTTATCAAAATTATTACAACAGTCTTCTTCAATATCATTGATCATTGATAAAATTTTTTATGCCCCAGAAAAGTAGCAAACATCACGTGAATTGATTTTAGTAATTTCTTTGGTAAATTTCTTATTAAATTCATTGTTATTTCTCATAAGCTTTGCAGTGAAAGTAGAATTAATTTTGGAAATATGTGCAGAAACTTCGTTGGTGATTTTAGAATTAATTTCCATGGTAAATTTACTGAAGATATTTTTAATTTTCAGTGTATTATTTTTTGTATCAAGATCATTGTCAATTCTAGTAACACATGCAGAAAATTCATCAGAAATTTTTTGTTTGAAATTTGATCACATGGTGATAATTCTTACGAATATCGCTGGACTAACGAACAAAAAAATAGTGGTTAAAACTAAAAATGGTATGCTTTCAGAAGAGTTAAGCAATGACAAACTAGACATAATTAGGCGTAGTAATTTTATTAAGATCTTATTGGTGAATCAAGTTTTTTTTAGATATTAACAATTGACTTTTTTTAATATGCAATATCTTGAGTAAATATGCTGAGAAAAGGGTTTATTTTATACTATATGCTTACTACACATGAAAAGAGAATTTAACCTGATTTAATAAAAATTACATTACTTTATTATGTGTATTTATCATAACAAATTTTTCATAATTATAATGATCTAGATCCCGTCTAATAATAACAGATTTTTCTCCCTGAATTTGAGACATATTTAACAATAGTACTTAAAATAAAATCTGACAAATTACGTTTTTATAACAACTTAATATAATACTAATGGAGCAATATCGTGTCTCAAATTTTCTATTTCTTTTAAGATCTCTTGCAAAACAGAAGATCACATATGGAGCATCTTTGTTTTAGTTTAACTCCTATTTTAATTGTAATCACAAAAAAGGAATATAAAATGGAGTAGATCGAGATCTATAGATGATGAATCGCATATGTATTCACTAATTCCTATTCAAAAATGGATTAATATGCTATTAACTATACATGTAATTTGAATGCGCTAAATGTCAGTAGGATAATAAAAAGTTACCGTTTATTCAAGAATCTGTAAATCATAAATTCTAATCAGCTCTATTTCATTTTTGATTCTTTTTAATGTCATCCTGTCTTACAATCTACAAAATGTAAATCAGGATGTGTTTTTTTTATTAGTAATTCAGAATTGTGTAATGAATGAGATAGAACATACCAGAACTCTATAAGTATAGTAACGCAAAATATTGCTCTTAGTTGAAGTTATTAATAGATCCTCTACCTTAGTGTCTTTGGCAAAAATAACGACTGTAAATGCCAGTGACGTATTACTGCATGTTATTTAAACTACCATATGATTTGGATGAACTGAGTTCGCTGAAATTTTACCAAGAAAATTTTATGTGACTTTGAGAGAACATCTTTTAGAAAATGATTATTTGTTCATGCATTTCAGAATCTTTATTTTCAGCATCATTAAGCAGATCCATTACTCTTTCTGTAGTTGTCACTTAATGTAATATCGCAACTGATCCACGGTTTAACTATCCTTTTTTACCTTTTTCCATTTGAATGATAAAATCAGTTATGTGATTATCTATTTTATTTCTATAATATTCTGCTTCAGAGAAGAGTCCATCTTGACTGAATACATCACGAAATGCCTTCATACTAAAGAGTTCTCTCATTAGGGAGTGATATACTTTTTCTCTTGAATCATCATATTGGTTTTTGAGCTTAATCAAAAGATTAATAAAGTTATCAACCCAAGGCATACTTTTTTAATCATATGATAATACTTTGTGAATTTCATTGACTATTAGACCTTGACGTACAAGTTTTTGTAATTCTGTATCTGTTACTATAAGGCTTCTAGACTGGATCTCATTAGCTGTTAGTGTAGTTAAATATGTCTTTTATTCTTTTTACAAATTATAATCTGTGTTGTATATAGATAAGCGGGTGAATTCAAAATTTCAAAGAAGATAGATCAGAACATGTTTGTAAAATTACTGCAGAGAAGTATATGATGTACTTACTGCGCATGATATATTCTTGGCTAAGTCACCACATAATTCAAAAAAAAGAAACGAAGTTCTTCCTCTATGCTATGATAAATTTATTGCTTAAAGTGAAACAAGTAAGACAATATTTTGTTTCATATTATTCGTTATATAATTCATAATTCTCATATTTTCCATCACAAATAGGATATGATGAGCTCTATGGTTGAGGTGATATAAAATTATAATTATCAATCCCTCTAAAACTATTTCAGAATTTTAAGTATGGGAAGTGCTCTAAGATGGACTTGATAATTAATTTTAAATCAGGTTTAGCTTTGAAGGTGATAGGCTTGAAATCAAAGACTTGAGATTTTTCTGATATACTTATCACGACTTCTAATAATTGTCATAGTTTATTTTCAGTTTCTTTTTTATATCTTTTGTATAAATTGAAATGAATCTTATCTGTCAAAATGCTTGGTAAACTAATTAATTTGGCATGCTAATCCAGATATTTGGAGGTTAATATTTTATCAGACTTGGTCATTCCCTTTTATGTAATTGCAAACAATTTAAATCCTTTTTTTCTCATCAATTTGAAAAAAGATTAAAAATTTCAGATAGAAAGCTATCTAATATTTCTTATTATACTTCCAAAAAAATAGATCATCTCTTGCACTTATAGAACAGGAGGACTATGCAATTATTTTAATTTTATGCTATTCATACTTAATAAAGTAAGATCTGACTTTATACCTACCTTTTATTTCTTCATCATCATGATCTAATTTGCATAATGGACAAATGGACTTTCTCAAGACCTCACATGATGTCTCATCAGTAATCCCATAATAATTGAAATTTTCACTATTATATTTTCTAAATAAACTTGAATATTGATCCAATATCTTGTTGTGAAATTGGCTCAGTCATAAGTTGGCTTAGATTGGGCTTGTACATTAGTCTAATTAGTTTTTGAAATCTGAGATGTAGGTGAAGTGCTTTTCTTGACATCTGGTGATTTTTTTGATTTAGACTTATTTGATTCAGCCAGTAGATCACGTGTATATGAGCAATTATTTACGCTGATCACTTTTTGACATTCTGCAATGTAAAGGTTTATTATATTTTAAATTTATGCATCCATTAAACTTCTAATAGCATCAATATTATATGTAACTAACCTGATTTTATCTATTCCTATTTCTTTAAACAGGATATAAATATTTTTAGCTTTTTGAGTCATCTTGCGTAAATTCTCTCTCTTCTTATCTAAAAGGTAGGGCTCCATTTCATTATAAATCTGCGTTTTTGCCATTTGATCACTAATATTATTTTCTAAAGCAATAATTATGACTTTTTTTTCAAATTCCTCACTATAGTAATACCAACATAACTTTTCTTTCTGACCAGTTTTTTCAACCTTATCAAATAAGTGAGTTAAATGAAGTATAGAACCTGAAACTAAATCAAAATTGACTGGAATTTGTTTACTAGATGCAGTAGAATTCGGTAAGGATTCATGGCTTCTAATAAATTCAAGTAATTCATATACTAAACCTCTTTCTACTTTTTGTTTATAGGAAACTTTCCCTCCTTACTATATTCAAAGCTAGGTAAAACAACATATGATTCAGATAATAGACTGGTAAGATAAACATTTTGTCTATTTTTTTTGTTTAAGAAAATGACAGAATCCTGAAAATCAATACTAGAGATATTAGCTATAAGTGACTTTAAATTCAAATTCTTCTTTCAAAAATCACCTTCTCAAAGCTTTTTCTCCTGCTTCCTTTGTCTTATTTCCTCACTAATCCTTTTCTTATATTCTTCATCTAAGAAAGCATCCATTTCTCTGTTCTCTAATGATCTCCTTGATCTGGTAGCAAAACTACCTCTTCGATCTGTGAGGTGAGAGTCAATCCATTCTGATTACACAGCCTTAGATCTCACATCTCTGATAAATTTAACTAACTATGAACTTCATGAATAGGCAGAGGCTTACACTATTTGGGCTGAGCTATAATTGAGTCAGATACTTTAACAGATTCTTTGAGAATAAAATCATCTGTTACCTTATTTGATACTAATTGCTCTGCAACCACCTCAGGTACCTCTTCCATTGACTTGGTATTGACATCATTTTACTGGTCTATTACAGAGTCAGATTCATCAACGGCTGATATTTCTGCTATCGTTTTCTATCATTCAGTGACTATCCATCTACTACTGAGAATCCCTATTCTAATATCAAGAGTCTGGCCTCAAGTTCTGTATTTTTTAGTTCTAATTCCTCGACTCTAGCATCATGCTTAGCATTTTCATTCATAACCTTTTTAGAAGCTTGACATTCCTAGCCTCAATCTCAACTTTCTTAGTCTCAAGCTTTGTGTTTTTAGTCTCAAGCTCGCTAATGCGTTGTCTCAATAATTCAAGCTCTATTGACATGATCTATAAAATTATATACTCTACATAAGCATTCAAAATAAAAAAATCACATACAGTCAACTCTTGTTATAGCGAACTCTTGTTATAACGAATTTTTTGAACAAATATAATAAAAATACTCTTGTTA